GGCCAGACACATGAGGGTGGCCTTCCCCTGCTGCAGCTCCTCACTGGAGGGGGGCAGCACTGTCAGGGTGGGACGAGCATCACCTAGGAGACACCAATCAGGTTAGAGAACAGGAACCAGGAAGGCATGAAATGACACCACGAAACTTTGACTATGAGAGCGTTGATGCTTTTTACTAAAATATTTGAGCCAGATGTTTTTTTTTCTGCTCCAACAGTTACGGAGACACATTGTTTCACTTCCATTTAACAAACCTCCTAAAACTTCACTTTGAATTAATCAATAAATATTAAAGATGAAATATCATTGTTTTATATATCAAAAAAGTCTGTTTTATATCACATCGGAAAATGAATTTTAACATTTACAAAAAACTTATTTTTACAATGATTTGACAGCTGTAAGAATACATTGAGTAGGTTTACATTTTCTAAAGAAATACATATTTTTCGTCTAGAGTAAAGATTTTTCAATATATAATAATTTTTAATATTTGAAATTTTTTGTGATTTAATAACCAAATATAAATGATTAATCTCTTAATAATACAAAAAAATCTACACAGTTTAATGATCCAGCAGTCTGTAGCAGGATGTTCCTGCCAGATGTCGTTTTGCTCCAATAGTCACTTCTTCTCTTAATGTTTCACTTCCCTTCATGAAGCTTCTCATGCATATCAGCCGAACCATAATCTACCACCTTAAAAATTTCATTGACATTTTACTGCAAATTGATATCAGATAACAATCTACTTTTTTCTCCTATTATAGATTGTAAAGACTAACAGTTTAGGTCTCAGATTACAGATGGAGTCAAATAAGAACATAACAAAACTTTCTAAAAATAAAGTGTAAATCTTGACACTGATTTTACTTAAATAAATTGATCAAGTAATATGAATTACATATATATCTACCCAAAGAACTTCAAAAAAAAAACTTCAAAGTAAATAATTGTCTCTTTAATTCCTAAAGTTTTTGCAAATTTACTTCCAAACTCCAGTCTGGTTTCTCCACAGACCGTGTTCCACAGTGATGCTAAAACTGAATGAGCCTTTTTAATTCTCTCTTCAGACTTAACTAAAA